TAATAATTATGTATTTGACATTTGAGAATTCGATTAGCTTTAGAAAATACTATAATCTGCTATATAATTTTTGATATTTTATCTCTAGTATACCAAACAGAATATTAAAATATCTGTATTTTCTCACACAATTTCATGTTCTGAAACCTGCATCTTTTTAAGTAAATGGTTCATTCTTTCTACAACTTCGCTTGGAACCATGTTGGCTCCCTTTGATGGGTCAAGATAATTTAATGTAACTGCCATACCAAATGCGATTGAATTTTTTTCCGTATTATGGTCCGGAAAAACACAGTCGATGATCAGGTTAAGATATGTATACCGTGGGTTGTCATTAAAATCAACTGGCTTGTTTAACTTTGTGTAACATTTTCGGGTGATACTAGAATCTTTGAACTTGCATTCTTCGTCACGAGAAACTTGCTAATTTTCAGTTTTAGGTTTCTCAAGGTCTGGAAATTCATTGTGAACAGCGTCTTTAACACGTTGTACGATATTACTCCGCACCTGACGTGAAAATTTCTGGGCCTGTTAAGGTAGATGAGATTAATTAACAATATATATATAATTAGAAGTATACCGCTAACATTCTGGAACATCTTTGGTTATTAAAAAAAAAAAACATTACCAGAGTGCGAACATTCTTGTTAAAGAAACGTTTCCAGCCACCGTTTTTTATTTTATTTTGAAGCTCTTCCCAATTTGTATCCGATAGTGCATCATAACACACTTGCATAAGACGCTCATCATCCGGATATTTAACTTTTTCAATAGTGCTATAAATTGCTTAGCTAACAGCATCCTGTTACAAAATAATATGGATAAATTAAATAAATCCAATGATACTTCATACAACAATGAATTAAAAAAAAATAAATTTGTCAAACAACACATTTCGATCTATTCAACTAACATATAACTAACATATATTGACTAAGATGCAATGAAATTACTATATATATTAGTCAAATTATGCGTCGAATAACAGATCGAAATATGCTATTCAGCACTTATGTACTTCAATCCACTTGTCATCATTTCTCATATGACTGCCGAAACTAACAGCCTTCCAATCCGCATATATTTCATCAATCTTTCTTTGTATATCCTGAACCTTGATCACCAATTGGAGCTGGATGTCCTGCATGCTTTTAATAGTTGTAATAAGACCTAAAAGAAAATATATGAATATACAATACTCAAATGATTTGTATTCGAAAACAATAAATAATTAATAAAAAACTTAATGGATCCTTTTTTGCACGTTCATGTCTTTATTTACCACTTTATCATTTTTTCGTTTGCTCTTGGAATTGGCCATCTCGTTTTCTGATACAAGATCATCGCTAAAATGTTCAACATCACTCGAAAGATGACCTTCCGGATCAGGTGAAGTATAATTATAATCAAACGAATTTGAACAAGCCTCTACAACTACATCTTGAACAATCTGCTGGTTTGATCCTAACTGGGTAGTTGAATTGCTTGAATTGCCTGGAGAATTTGGGATGCTTGAAGTGCTTGCTTGTTCTTCAAGATCGATTTCAGGCAAAATGCGTTGAACACCTTTGCAAACTGATACTGATGATACTCTTCTCCTAGTGCGACCCATATTTGCATGCCACTAAAATACATTATTATATTCAAAATTTGCATTTTTGTTTATAAGAGTATTTGTGTATTTCTTTTAATATTACCTTAAGAAATAATACCAAATTCTATGACTTTTTTCTTTTATATTACCTTATGTATATGATACGGTTGCGGATTTCTTTAATTTTATCAGTGAGAATGCTAAGAAATAGAACCAAATTCTATGGCTAATTACGCTTTTTATCTTTTAGGTGCCTTAGTACGTAAAATACATATTTTTCTATTTATTACATCATACCAAAAATTATGCACATAACTATAAGATGTCATATGATAAAATAATGCCATATTATTGTATTACCTATAACGTATTTTTTATGCATGCATAGCTTATTTTAATATGTGCATAATTTTATTATCATTTTTAGTATTCAATTGAATAGTAAAATATTGTATAAAAAGTACAATATTAAAAAAAAAGAAAAAATCATAATTAATAGAATTTGATTCTTTTTCTCGACTTTGGTAAGCAAAAGTAATGTCAAAGTGAGGCTAGTGAATTTTGAGAAATAAGACTAGTGTTGGAAGTGAGACATAAAAGTCTTTCCTGCGTAATCGTATAGAAGCTAATCCACGTGATAACATATTATAGTTAAGAGCTTTAGCAATCGTCACATCATCTTGAACTGTCTATTATCCAAAATGCCAAAATGTTCCTCTTGCAATAAAATTTTTAAGGACCGGCAATCATTGGGTAATCATATGAAAACACATTTATATGATAGCGATGAAGATTTATCTTTCTCAAGTCAACCAAACCACAGAGTTTCACAAAATTTAGTTGAAATTACAACTCAAATCCTTAATAACCAAAACATATCTAAAAGACACAACGTATCTGAAGAACCTAAAGAAACTGAGACAAATAATAAGAAAAGACGTTTTGAACAGAGGTTAGACAATAGACAGGATAGTGTTAGTTTCGATGTGGATGAATCTATCGAGAATCAAAATCTTGATATCCTGTTTTCCAGTTTTACAGATGACATTGAAATTTATAATGAATTTATTGAAAAGGAGGAGAATTTGGAATATTTTAGTTGTAGTGATTCTCAAAGCATTGCATCTAATGAAGAATCCGATTTGTTAGATGTAACAGAAGTTGATATTAATGAATGTATTGAATATAATGGCTTGCACGCTGATAAACCAAAAGACTCTGACGATATATATCAAGAATTTCCTTCAAAAGAATATGCGGAGTTTATGTATATGATCACACGGTTTCATGTGCAAGATCCCCTCGCCAACGCATTCATAAGGTTCTTTAACAGATATTCGAATCGTGATGATCGTCCATTACCATCAACCTCATAAACTGGGTGTAGGTTTATCGAAAACCTTGAACTTCCAAATTTTGGCTGGAGAAAGAAAGCCATTTTTGAGTATGAGGGGTTTGAATATGTTCTTGAGTACAGGACAGTGCTTGATAGAATACATCAAATACTATTAAACAAGAGCATTACTGAAGAGTTTATCTTTGATTATAAGTCGTCTATAGATAATGTAAATAAATCTATTATATATTAATCTGAGTGTAACTAATCATACACGGGTTCATGTTTAAACCAAGGATCCAAAGGTCACTTCATTTAAATATGAGCCTGTGTATAATTAATTTTATTATACTGTATTTTTATATAATAAGTGCTATAAAATTATTAACCAAATTTATTTTGACAATTAATTTTTTTTTTTTTAAAAAAAAAAATTTTTGCAAGGTATCTGGCGAGCGTTTGTATTCAGATATGTACGATTCTGACTGGTGGAAAAATGTGAAGCAAAATCTTCCAATTAGAGCACATATAATGCCAATAATTATTTATTCAGATGCTACTCTCTGTGACCATCTAGGAAAGACATCGAGGCATCCTGTGTTTATGACACTTGGGAATATTCCTTTAGCCTGCCGAAACAAGGTTGATGCAAAAGTTTTGCTCGGCTATATTCTCGATCTTGAACATCATAGTACATCCGAAAAATATTCTGCCCATTTTCGAGCAGCCAGACGTAAACTTTTTCACTGCTCACTTTTTACTATACTTAGACCATTGAGATTCCTAAGTAAGAATGGTATTCATTTATATGTTAATAGTAATCTCAAATGGTTCTATCCCTATTTGTCGCTTATAATCTCGGATTGGCCGGAAGCTTGTATTATGTGTGCTACTTACGGGTCACCAAATTCATTGTATCCATGCCATTTTTGCCTAGTGGAGCGTAATTCAATGAATAATGTTCACTTGGACAAAAAAAATATAACCAGCCGGGATGAAGAACAGTTAAAGGTTTTTTGCGTCAAGACAATGATAAACAAATTTCTGTCCATAACGCAAGAAATGCCCTGTGGAAATGGCTGTAAGTAATTATATGAATTAAATTTAATTAAATTCATAATAATAGTACTTATACGTACATATTAACAATGAATTTATTCATAGATACTTCAATGTTTATACTATGTGTGTGTGCCTGATTGCATGCACTATGCAGACCTCGGACTTTTTAAATATCAATTACAATTCACAGTCAAACTTTTAATTTCATGATATGGTAGTAGTCCAATAAAGAATCTTGAGAAACGTCTATCTCGAATTCCATACTACCCAAACCTTAAGATTTTCAAAAATGGGTTTAAAAAATTTAATCGATTAACTGCAGCAGAATATCAGGATTTGATAAAAACAGTATTATTCACCCTAGACGGTTTAATACTTGACAAACAACTTAATAAGGATTTGTGTGACCTGTTTTCATTATGGATTGACATGTACATATAGAGTTGTCAACCCAAATACACCAAATCAGACATTAATGAATTGGAGGTAAGTTTATTAATACGTACGTAACAATGATCAATTGAAAATTAATAAAAAATATTTTATTTATTTTTTAATTTCTATATTTATTATCCTAACAGAAATCAATAGTTGTGTGGAGCGATTTATTTATAAAGCTTATGTCACAATTTTTCCCATTCAACTTATGTTTACCCAAGTTACACAGTTGGCGATTTCATTTAACATTGTCAATTCTTCAGTTTGGGACCGTTAACGGTTTTACAAGTGAGACATATGAATTACTGCATAAGACTAATGTCAAGCAACCATACCATAATACAAATAGACGCAACATAAACACACAAATGCAAGCAACTGTAAGTATAACGACAAAGATATGTGATGCCAATACAAATAATTTTTAAATGGAAAACACTAATATCAGTTCATTTTTTAAATTTTAAGGTAACCTGTCAAAACATCTTTATGTCTCTTGTGTCAAAGTTTCAATCACAGTCACGTAATGTCTCACATCATGGAATCACATCCAAAAAAATAACTAAAAAGATGACACAGTATACGATCGATCAAATCATAGATCAGCTGACTACATCACATTTGGATGATTTATGGGTGCACGGCATTAGACAACTTAAATCTTGCATTCACGATTATTTTCTAAACATTGAAAACTGGTCATTACAGGATATTGAAAATGAAACTGTCTTGATTGAAGTATTCAAGCATGCTTATTTAGATAATGATAATAAGATAATTATTCGTGCATCCTCTAACTATCATGGATGTGAGGCCTTCTCAGATGTTTGTATCGAAATGGATGAATCAGAACAAAATGATTATCTGACAGATGGCGGTTTATGTTATGCAAAAGTATATATTAACTAAAAAGCATTCAATATGTTATATGGCACATTTTATATTTGAATGTTACTCAACCTGCTATTATGACTATAATAAGTTGAATAGCATTTCAAAATATGTTAGATTTAATTGTTTATTAATAAGATAATAGTACCTTTTTAATTGTGTATTTTTTATTTTTAGGTCCTTCTAATCCTTCGAATTACATCTCCGAAGTTAAATCAGAAACTCGAAGTTGCCCTCATTCATTGGTATGATTTTGCATATCCATCCGATGTGAATCGTCACTATTTTTATAAATGTGCGATTCTTAAACACGTTAAACATTATACTTTAATTCCTATCGCTTCAATTACAAACATAGTACATATTATACCAAAGTTTAATGAAACGGATATTTTTTTTGTAAATAGATATGTTAACTTTTCTATGAAATAACTATATACATGTTAATGGATGTTATTTTAATAATTATTATTGCTAGAAATTAGGATTGTCTATAGTATACAATTTATAACTGCTCTATTAAAATCATAAATAGTTTTACAAACTTTTAATTTCGAATGACAATGAATAATGCACTTCAATTGTTGTTTCAGTTCAGAATGGAATAAAATTATTAAAAAGTGTTTGGAGAATTTGGTAAAGTTCCTACTAATGCTGAAGGTAGCGTATTTCCAAGTTAATTAATTGGCATTTAATAATTTTATTACTAACGCTATTCATACATAGCTTCGCTCAACATAGTCGACAACGCATTCAATTTTTTTTAAACTTTCTGACATGATCGTTAGAGGACCAACGCATCCAATTTAATATATAAGTTAAGGTCGGGTATTATGACGTGGAGTATTGTGACGCACATCTATTTTTTAACGATATCTGATGATACACTGGTTAGAATCAACCAATTTTAGATCATTTACTGAGACGAATCCAAAATTAATCGATTCTGACCAAGATTTAAGGAAAGATTAGACATTATGGTATAGTTATTACACTATTTTCTCTCTTTCCTTATCTGAGCAATTTCAGATGAAAAGATCAGCAAAGTACGATATAAAAAAGAGTTATCTGCATGGACTTAACATAATACTAAATATCGTTATACATAGTGCATCAAAATACCCCCGCTCAAGAAAACATGACAGATTTTGAAAATTCTGAATAGCATGTTTTTTTAAAAAAATTGTTTTAGCTTGTCAATAGAAATTAGGTCGAATATTAGTTTATTTCAATAAATTTTAGGAATAACTTATTTTTTTAAAGACATTTGCTATTAGCATCATAATACCCGACCTTAACTTATATATAATATAATTAACTTATCTTTTTTGTGGTTATAAAAACAATCATTTCAGGAGAAATAAGAATCTCATTTAAATTAAAAGATAACTATCTGCAATTAACTCAGCACGTGCTGTTTGCGTGCAATATATAGCTAAATGAAGACATTCTGATGACAAGAATATGGATGTTACTTAAGAAGATTTATTCAAAAGCATGATAATCAAAATTTTGTAAGGAATAACTAAAATTTTGATTATTGCAATAGTATTTATTATAAAATTAAATTGTCAAAACACTATTACAATCAAGAAAAAGATCCTTCGGCATCGAAGTTCAAGTCGAATGTGAGAACACTTATATACACAGTATGATATATATTTATTAATTATTAAGAGTTTGATTAATATAAATTTTATATTTTATGTGGTTATTTAAATCACGAAGACCATGACTCACACTAATGTTTGCCTCATTGTAATGGTTGGGTTGGGAGAACGGCATTTCGGTAACCAGTCAGAGATGTATAGACCGGAAACAAACAAGTATATTATTTCCATATTCAAATGTAAGTGTCAATAACAGGACGATCATATTATTTCTGAATTCTGAAAGGAAGGAAAATTTACAAAGAACAAGTATTTATATCGATATCTGAAAAAGATAATGATTTAAAGATAATATTATCTGGATAAAATTACAATGATTTATTGATGAAAGCTTAGGGATATAGTTTGTATTGACAATGAACTTCGTTTAGCCTTTATATTTATAGCACATTTTAGAGTAATGGCTACTGATCACATTAAATAATGCGAATTTGTAAATTAATGTATATAAAAAAAGATAAATTAATGCGGATAAAAAAAAAATTATGCGAATGCAACGTTTTATTTTGTTCGCATTTTTAATATATTATAATTAATTTTATGCCATCTAATACTGTACTACTTTATGCTTTAAATATAGATTTGCGTATCGGTATTAGGATGGTTAGCTCATTTGCTAATCCAGTCTTGGTTGTCATTATCCATATTGGTTTCTGTGTAACTGTCAGTTACGGAAGTGCGAGCACAATAAATTAGCATCGACTGTTGACTGTAAGCATTCAATTATACAGATAGTAAGCGTATTTATAATTTATATAAATTTAAGTAATGCAATATATATAACCTATTCCAATTACTAATTCTAAATATAAAATACCAACACTACTAAATCACAATTCTAAAAAATCATCATACAAACATCATTCACAAAAAGACAAAAAGATGCAGTGAAATCACATAGAAGTTTACTCTGGAGGAAGCCTCATAGAGTCTTTATTTACATGAAAGAAGTCCACTCTAAATTTGATTAGGTTGAATTTAAAGGTCATTTGTACAAGAATATCTTCATGCATCGTTAATATATTTGAATAGATTTCCTTCTAAGGATATATGAGAAAACTATACTTAAGCATATTCAAAATGCAATGATGGTATATTGTTTATTTTTCGTTTTATATAACCCATCAACACATTTTTTCAATTGTTCAAGTTTTTTTTTTATTTTTGAAAAAGTCCCAATTGTGCCAATTATTCTATTTTGATATTTAATTTTTCTATTAATTTATCTGGTATCACCCGATAGAGACCGATAGAAAAATAATCTTACCCCTAACCCAATTTCGTGCTATGCAAGGTGAAAAATTAACTTTGTATTGCTCTAGATATGAACATAAGTCTATTAATTTACAATAGATTAAAAATAAAAATAAAAATAAAATCTGACTGACTGACCCCATTTTTCGAATTCATGTTATGCAAAGTGAAAAATTAACTTTGCATGACCTTAATAAGTAAAAGTTTTACTTGATTGGTTAGTTCAATTTTGTTAATTCATAGAGTTCTCACATAGCCGTTGGACAGCTCTAGGTCCTGTTGAAATCTGGAATGTTCATGCAAGTAAACAAATCGAAAAAACATATTCAATGAATAGTCATAGGGATATCAGATCCCAAAATGACTATATGGCAAAATTATCGAACATAAACAAAAGGTAATCTTATTATTTGATTTTATTTGATTTTATATATTTAATTTAATCTATTTAATGTTGATTATAATTCAATTGTATTATTTATATGCTCTTTTTCAAATCTGTTTAATCAAAATTTATTGATCTATTTGAAGTTTATGGACTCAAGTAGAATCCAGAGGGAATTAACTTGCTAGTGATGGGAATGACAACAAGCTCTTAATTTAGAATAGAGTGTATTTCCTCATCAAAGCCATCGTTTGGAATTTATATTCACATAGCCTTTTGGTAAACAATTCGATTTTAGAATACTACAACTAGTAAAGTCCTAGAAAGTTATAATACTAAATCTTAGATATAAATTGCATTCTTTGTTTTTTTTATGTTTTGTTACCTAATTAAAATTAACTACTCATCAATTGAACCTTATCTTTTAATGATTAGTCATATATTTTTCAGTAATATTTATAATTTTCACTACAGAATATCTTGTTACAACGCAACTTTTTTTCATTAATTGCTTAATAAATGCAAGTTTATCAATTCGAAATTAACTTTTTAAATGAATTATCAATTTATTATATATTATTATTCCAAGCATTAGATCGTTTATAGAGTTGAAAGCAAATATCGTAAGACTAATATCAAAATCAGAGTTATTTGGCCAGTTGTTATTTTATCTATAATAGTATTAAAAATTCTGCAAGTTTTTGATAGTATATTATGATAGATAAAGAGGATATTGTATTACCGTAAATCGCTATATACAAGATCTAACAAGAGAAAATGTCGATATTACATAATCATTGATGGATTATATCTGTAACATTGAAAAACCGATTAGTTGCAACATAAATATTTTTTTTTTTAATTGAAACATTAGGTATAAAATTAAATTAAATTATATCTATAATGTTAGCCAAATAATTCTAACATAACTAATTTTATTTCTGAATTGAATACACAAAATGTTAAGTTAAAGTGTAATATCAATGTTTTTTCTTGTTATAAGATCCGGGTTTCTTATATTTCACCAATTTTAAAATCTATAATAAATCCAAGGTCTAGTATACAGCTGAGAGTTTATATTATTAAGTTTAAAATATATGCATATTTTGTATTTATAACAGGCAGTCTATATATTTGAAAAAACCTAGGTTTAACTAATATAAATCCTGTAATTTGAACTTAGTTATACTATGTGGCGGGTTTACTATTATGGAAAGTCTTATATACATTACAGTATTAGAATTTTACAAAAAAATTTTCTTTAGTATATAAACAGGTTATTTTATTTATTGTATTTTGTATTTAATTCTAAATTTTAATTATATATAGTAGTAAAATTTTTAAGATTTAAGTATTAATAATAATATATTAAGTTAATTGCTTATTTAATATTTGTATTAAGAGTAATTAATAAATATTAAATTAAACTAATATTATTATATTTATCAAGTAAATATTTATACTTTATTAAATTTAATTACTTATTTAATATTAATTATTTTAGTAATTAATAAATATTAAATTAAAGTAATTTTATTATATATTTTAAACAAGTATTTAAAAAATATTATAAATTAGTATTTTATTTATATTATTTTATATTAATTAATAAATACTTATTTTAAATATAAATAAGTACTTTTAGAATATTAAATATTTAAAAAATACTATTTGTAAATATATATTTAATAGTGTTGTTAGATTAATAC